CCCTCCCCCTCTACCCTCTACCCTCTCGCCCTCCCTGGACCCCCACGCGGCTCTTCCTCAAGAGCCTGGCGACCTTCGTGATCGGCACCAGCGCGGCGCTGGACATGTCGCTGTTTGAGGTGGCGCTAATGATTGCCGGTGGGTTGTGATTGCCCGGGTCCTACGGGGGGTGGGGGGGTGGGGGTGCGGTTGGGGGTGGGGGGGCCTGCCGTTTGGTTGGGGGTGTCAAGAGGTTGAGTTGGGGGGACGGCTGTACATCTATCTGTCGTCGTACATCCGTCCCAAGTACCCGTGTTCTGGGCGAATGTCAACAACGGCCCCCTGCGCCCCCTGGTGGTGGTGCCGGTTGCCGCTCTGACTGTGTTCTCTTGTCGCTTACTTGTGTCACTTGCATTTGGGCTCTTTCTGCAATTTATTCTATCGCTTGGGTCCTCCGTGGGGTTCGATACGGGGACCTTGTTGAATTTTGCTGGGAATTTTGCTGGCTGAGCGTTATTTTTTTCCTCATGGCCACTTGGTACCAACCTTTTCTGTAGCAGCTCAGCTCCCAAAAGATCTGCATCTGGATCTGCAGATCTTCGTTTTGCGTGAGTTCTGTTTTCACCTGTGTTTTCCTTCACCTCGCACACCTTGTTGGGTTCATGTTTGTATTGTATTGTATATATATATATATGTCCCACGATGTGTGTGTCTCCCCGCACCTCTCTCCCGCACCTCTCCCGCACCTCCCTCGGTCGCCCCCAGGTTGTCCAGGGATCTGCGGAGTGAACTCCCGCCGCCTTGGCCTCCGGTGGAGTGAGCTGCGGCGGCTGACCGACCAGGTGCCGCTGTGGAGGCAGCAGCTGGCGGCCATGTCGCCGCCCTCCCTGGGGCGCTGCCTTGTGGCGTCTGATACGGCACTGGGGCGATTGCAGGTGGGGGGGCCTGTGTATGCGTTACTGCGTAGGCGTTATTACTGTGTAGGCGTTACGTGTCCACACAGCCAGCCGGCCGGCCATGCGTACGTACCTCACATACGACGTACCTCACATACATACCTCACTTGACGATACATACATACCCATATCATGGTATTATAACGCTGTACCTCCGAAACCCCATTTCATCTCACTTCGAAGGTGGTGGTGGATCGCGGCCTGGTCCACGATCCCGAGCTGTCGTCTTTCAAAAAGGTGCTCACCATGTCCACCAGCAAGTTTGAGGCAGCCCTGGCAAGCGGTACCGGCACTACCGCAAAAACCAGCACCAATACCAGCCCACAACATCACCACAGTAACATCACCTCGAGCCCAAGCCGTTCCAGCTTAGACATCCTCGGTTCGAGCCCCGCATACAGCGCCACTTTGAGGTCCTCATAACACGAGCAACAATAACAACAGCAGCAGCAGCAGCATCAACGCGAGTAGCAGCTTTTTACCGTCCGGGGTTGCTGACCTGCTCACCACGGGCCCGGAGGTGGTGGTGGTGGTGGTGGTGGTGACAGAGGCCGCAGAGGGGCTTTGGTGAAGATGTACGACAATGTACGATGCCCGGAGACGTGCTGGAGCAGTTTCTATTCTATGGTACTGCGGTTCTGTGTACGGCGGTTTAAAATTTATTGGCACTGTCCTTGAAGACCGGCCGGTCTCGTGCTCCTTTGCATAGGAGCGCTATGGGACCCTAAGTCCCATAGCTTGTTGTACTGTTTTTGTGAATGTGGGTCGACTTGTTGCGGTCAATTGTAAGAAGTGGTTCTATGATATGCTGTTGCTTAACCCCCTCGAAGCGATGAAGGGCCCCGGCACGCGCGAGTCTTTCACTCGCATTTTGGAGGCGAGGGGACTTGTTTTGTATTTACTTAGCCTCCATGCCAGGTGCGCAACATCGAAGGTGGTGTCCCACATTTTGCTCTATTCATTTGTTCTCGTGCCGGCAAAGGCAGCGGTGGTGTGTAGACGGGCATGTTCACGTAAGAAACTCGTGTTAATTGGCACTTGGGTTATATGACAGTGTCTTTATTTAGATCCGTTAGTCAGTTCGCTGTTTGGATCAGTTATTGAAGGAGCGAGGGGGAACTAGTAGCGAAGGTGCGAGAGGTTCTTATAATAGCGTAGGGCTGGCTTATCGCGGTGTGCCCTGTGTGCCTCTGTGTGAAGAATCATCCAAAGCGCTTCGGTCGCGCAGGTCACAGTGTTTTTTACCTGTGTTCTGTGTGTCATGCGACCTGTCTGTCTACCTGTCTGTCTGTCTTTTCTGTCTGCCTCCTAGCTTAGCTGTCTATCTGTTTGTCTGTCTATCTGTCTGTCGACCTGCCTGTTTAGGACAGCTCGAACAGCTCGATCGTGAGTAGAAATGGGCATCTTTCAGCGTTTTTGAAACACCGCGCAGCGGCGCTGGTGGTGGCGGTGTAGCACCAGTACCAGCAGCACCTCTGTGTGTGTGTGTGTGTGGACGCACCTGTGGATGCACCTGTGGGGGCACATCATCATCATCATCATCACACGCCGCATACAGCATGAGGGCGACGACGTGCTCCGTGCACGTGCGTGTATATTATCGCAAGTTGTTATTCAGTTGGTTCTACCTGCCTACCTACCTACCTACCTACCTGCCTACCTAGGCATTTCTGGCGATTTATTTTTTGCAGATCGCCAATCTTGAGAACCCGTCATCCGGATGCTGAGGCCGTTAGTGTTCCACGCCAGGGGGGCCATGGGGACTACATTCCGCTGTGAGGGAGGAAGGGGTTAGGAGAGGTACTCGACCCTCGGTACGACGTGTTTTAAGAAGTAATTATCTTCCAGTTGCGTGCAGGTGTAAGAGAGAAAGAGAGAGAGCGCGGGGAGGGGGAAGATCCTGGAAGGGAAAGTGGAGACGAAAAGAACGAAGATCAAAAGAGGCTGTAGTAGAGTAGTACAGTACCGCCATGAACAGCCATGTGGCGATATAAAATATCGCGAAAAGCCCGCGCTCTGGGCTTTTCTCTTTTGCCCTGTTGGCCTTCTGGTGGCCTTGTTGGCGGTTTCTGTCGTCGCTGTTGGCAGGTGCTTTTAGGTGCTGAGCTCGAACAGAAAACTCTTAAAAATGCAACATAAAAATGCTGCACTACGCAGCGAGCAGGATTTTGCCCACCTTAACACGGGGATAAATTTTGTTGTTGGGAGTTGGGTTGCAAGTAGGTTGTTTTGGCGTGTAGGTTGTGTGTTGATGAGGTTGATGTGGTTGATGTGTGCTGTCCGGCAGAGAAGGTAATGGTCCCCAGATGCTCTCCGGCTAAATGGGCTTTCAGATGATAAGCGAGTGATACGCAGCAGCGCTGGCAAGGCAGTTGTAAATTGTATATCGTACGTTGGATCAAGTCAAGCATGTAAAAACCGAAGTACGGCGATCGTGCTGGGCCAATGTTTGTCTCGCTTGCGTATCTCCTCTCTTCATTCAGACAAGATCTCCATTATATATCTTGTAAGCATTAGTAGCTACTACCTAACCATCACTGTAAAGCTGTGTAGACCCTTTAGTTCATCCCCTTTAGGGGAACAAAATGGGATACCGAAACCTGATGAGTCTGCTGGCAGCCTGCGTACATCGATGATGATTCGGCGTTTCAGGATCCACAAGTGATGAAAACGGATTACTTAACGTTGCTCCTGTGGTGTCGAGTTGTGTGCCTGTTATCAAAAGGATTTAGCGTGCTTTGTTGTGGAGCATCTGTCTAGCAGTGCCAAACAGCGTGTTTTGTTGTGGAGCATCTGTCTAGCAGTGCCAAACAACAGCCTTCCACGATTTCGCTTGCTTTCAGCTCATAACGAAAAAAGATCCATTGCAAAAGTCCCTAAGACAGATCAGGTAGAATCGATCCGCTAGGGTAATCCGCCACGAAGGTCAGGAAACCGAAAACACGTGCATATACGGTACCTAGCTTAATGGTTTTTTGATTTACGACAAGGACGCCGAGCACCTGGCGTCTCATCAATTGCCCCATCAGTTGCGAAGGACGAGCCCATGCGTCATGGCCATAACAGGCTTCTTTCTACCAAGCGAATGTAATGAAAAGTGCCTAACCAACCATCAGAAGTGCCTTGTCTATACTTGTTCAGTGGAGCGACCAGACCTGCAAGCTGAGCTGCTGCATGCTACTGTGCTGGCTGGTGCATGCTGACTGAAGAGACTTTTCCTAATAAGACTGCTTATTTAGACTAACATACGCTGTACAGAGGTAAAGTTCAAATATTGGACCAAATTCACAAACAGCAGTAGTAGAAGTTCTAGAATCCAACGCAACATCCTGTATACCGTAATGATACGATTCTTTTGTGACACGCAATTGGTATGGCGTCCCCAAATGCATAGCAGTGGAAAAAGGTCTTAGGCAAAATTTTATGGGCATCACCAAACTGGCTGTCACAAATGTGTCGTACACCGTGTTAACGGTATCGACCAACAGTAAAAGCCCTCCAGAAGACGCTGTTGGCTTGTAGTTATCTTCGTCTTTTACCCCTAAGTTGATCGGACAAGAACTTTAGCTTACAGGCCCACCCTCAGAAAGCGCGCTCAGAATGGCGCCTAAACAGCTTAAGCTTACTAGCCTTTTACCCAAGCTCGACACCAATGCTCCCATTGAGCTCAGGGCAGGCATTACCAGCGTTCGAGTGGCGCCGGAGGTTGAGGCTGCAAGGACTGAGCGCGAGAAGGCACATGCCGATGAGAGGATTGCAAAGCTTGCTGAAGCGGACGCTGAGGCCGGCAAGGCCATCATTGAGCAGGCCACGGCTCCTGGACACCAGCCAGTTGGCAGGTTCCGCGCTGTTCGGACTTTGATAGCAGCTTGGCGGTAGTAAGCGTAAGCGCGCGAAGCGTGAGCACGCCCGCGGGACGCCCTGGAGCCGTCACCAAAAGTGTATCACAACTGTAGATTTTTCTCGTGACCGTCCCCAAAATTGCATATCATCAAAATAATTTCAGCGTTAATTTTGGGCCTTCCCAAAAACACGTATCAGAAAAAACTCGTATCATTACGGTATGGCAAACACGCTAGAGATCCTCCTTCACCATGTTCGCGCGGAATTCACATCCTGTGAAAAGCTACTAGAAATATATAAAACAATTAGAAATATTACAAGTTTGGCTTTAATAGCGTGCTTGACTTTAGAGCCTCTTGGCTCGTCTGGGCCTTACGATATCGCCAGCTCTTAAGGTCACATAACCCTGCAGTCACCTCAACTCGGAACGGGCCATGGGCAAAGTTCCAGTTCTGCAAGCCCACCCGTTCGCAATGCAAATGATGGGGTTGTCAAGGCGCGTACCAAAGCGCATCCGACCTGCATGGCCCAACTACACGGCAGAGATTGCCCCGCCTTTAGTACCATACGGCGCCACGGGCTGCTGCTGCGAATGCCAGGCTGTGAAATATAACACGCAATAGTGAGGAAGGCATAAAATTCATGGCTCAACCTCACAAAACGCGCGTGCGCACGCAATACCTCGGGCGTTCGGGGAGACAGAAGAGCACAAACTCACTGCTTGTACACGGCCACAACGACGCCACACAAGATCTCTTGCTGTAGTTGGCTGACCCCCCCCCCCGGCCATCCAAGCACAGTTAGTTACAGTCACGTGATGGCGCACGATACACATATGTTGTCGTTACAGAGTGGGGGAGGCTTCCGGACCAATTGGACACATTTGGATTTTGATGTCATTTCTAATAGGATTGAACACCATATTATTACAGCACACCATCCACCATTACCACACTGTATTACTACGCCATACGAACTGCAAGTCCTGCACAATCTATAGCAGAGCACTACGCGATAGGCCAAGAGAGTCCAGGACCTGCAAAGACAAAGACACAAATGTCGACGACGACGAGATATTTACAACCGCGCAATGGTGACGTGCCTAGTCCAGGTGTTGCGCTGGCACCTAGTCACCGGTTCTGTCGAAGTTGTCACCCTTTGGACGACGACTACCCTCAGGTCCTGTTTGCGTTAATCGACTCGAAAACACACTGACAGCATTTTTTACCATAAAGTACGTTCCAATCCAACATGCAGACAGCAGCACATGTACAACAGAAGACAACACCCCCATTTCTAAGCAGCCGCAGCAAAACCAACCAACCAACCAACCAGAGTCCGCCTGCCCGCGGGAAGGACACCCCGCAAACAGCTGCTCAGCCACCCTTTTCAGCGCACGCCTTCCTGGCCTCCACCTGTTAACTATGTTTCCGCCAAGCAAAAGCCATAGGCCATGTTATGGGCACTTCTCCAGAGACGTGCTGTCAGATATATTAAGTGCACAGTTCTTTAAAGGCTGAAAGCGAACTTTTTCGACGACTCGCATGTAAGGCATTTGAAAACACACACACACAAACTTGCATTGCGCAAAACGGGATGAAGAGACACGATATGACGATCGACACACACGACGACGATAGAGCAGGCAGGCAAACGTACATACATACATACAGGCACGCTTACTACACGCATTCGGGGTTTTAAACGTCCAATTACAAAACATGTGGGGTTATTGTCCGCACAGCCTTTTAATCCCAAGCATAAGCCAGATATAAACGAAGTGTGGTGCCGTGCGCGCAAGCAGAGCCCCTCAAGGGGCCCTGAGCGCCACCACACGCGACCACCCGGGTGAAGATGCAGTCCCGACACGCCAAGATCCGCCTTAAGTGGTAATTATCGCAACGCGCCAAAACAGAGACACACACACACATCAAGGGTGAAGCAACACAGGGTGAGAGGTTCTCCGAAAATATCACAAAACCACCACCATTACACAATGCGGCGGACTACACTCCGCACACCTTAACACAACATGTAACCGTTCCCAGCGCCAGGACTAATTCCCCTCGTCGCCCTAGTCTTTCCAAACCGCCCCAACAAGGCGCCGCGCTAAACACCAGCTTCAAAGAACGCGAACGGCACCCCAGTCACAGACACCACCGCACAGCCAAAAGCGGTGCCCGAGTCAATGCATTTCATATAAGCCACTCAGCATCCGCGCGAGTGGCATTACAGAGTAATAAAACCCACGCCGTGTCGCCCTGCCGCGCAATGAGCAGGGCGGCAGCGCACATGAAGGACGACGCCGTCTTTCAAAACGCTTTCACATGCCGCGCACGATGCAACAATTTACTTGGATTATAGCAAGCACATGCAATGCGCCGGAGCCCACTAATAATAACTCAACTCTCAGCAGCTGTCAGATTTGCAAACAGCCAAAGAGAAGAGAGAGATGCACACTTGTGGTGTGTGCGGCGAACCCGCACTAGACGTATTGAGTTCGTTGCCTACCCGTCGACCGAGGTGTCTGCTGCTGCCCCCCAAGCGACTGGGGCCACCTGCTGAGCCGACTGGCCGGCAGGAGATGTCAGATGCACCGTCCCCGGCACCACCGAGACCGCCGGCTGCGACGGCTGCGTCGACAGTTGAGACGGTTGACGCTTGGGTAAGAGCTGCGAGGGCTGTTGCGTAACGCCCTGCGTCGCCACCACACGCGCACACGCAATCTCTGGCCGCGTCCAAGACTTCTCGCCGGTTTGGCGGTGCATGTAGAACGGCTGCTTTGTCTTGTCATCTCGAAATTCGTCCCAGCCGTCGGGCAGCGGAACCCAGACACACGTGCGAAAGCCCTCGATAAGAGCCTGCAAACAAGACAGAAAGACAGACAGACAAACAAACAGCCAAGCTTGGATACTTTCTCATGCGCACACCGCGATGTTCATGGATGGTTTGGCATCTTTAACATATTGGACAGAGGTCCCTTCCCAATTGTTTTGGGGATAGCAAGTGACAACAACGAAGCGGCCAAAAAACACACAGCAACAGGCCATACCCACAGCCTGCGCTGCTGATTTCCCTGCATCGGTAATGTATTTACCCCGCATTCCAACCTGAAGCAACCAAAAGCACAACGGCGTTGCGAGCAAGGCATCCGCGACACTCTCTATACCGACAAAGACCACCCCCAACTGAAGAGCTTTGCGCTACAACTTCTCCATTCGTGTTGCAAACCGTCACGTGCCGCCGGAACTCACTCCCGAAAAGCCACAGCCGCCCAGCAGCCGACTGAAACCCCGAAAATTTCTTGATGTCAACCTTTCCCAATCAAACTTCTGGCAGATTACGCTAATAATAATAATTATCGCATTATTAGCGCCATTCCCGTTGTATCATCCATTTGTATTGTATTGTATTGTATGACAAACGGGTCCACACAACTGCACTTTTGCACTCGATTGCGCACCTTCCTGTCCAGCCCACGGCCGATAAAGACCACCTGGTTGATTCGCGGCTCCTCCGGCTTCCACGGCTGCTCCGCCGGCCCGTAGCAAATCGTTTCATGCACGCCCTGGAACACAAACTTGGTGTTTCCGTATCCCTGCGCAACAGGCACGTGCATCCAAACGGATACGTCATAGCACTCGTGGTCAAGCTCCCTGAGCTTTCCTCGCCGAAAAGCTCAGCGCACGCACAGGAGATACATGCTGATGAGGTGTGCTACGGTTGCGGAATTGCGTTGCGTTGGTGACAATGTTTCAGGATTGATACCGGCAAAGAGTATCAGCGGGATGAACATGCCTCGACCGTTGATGCGAGGGTGGATGCAGCCCCCTTAAAAAAGATATCAACCTGCGAGCTGACCAGGAGCCGAGTTCCAGACCAGCCGTTGATCCTGCAGATTCCCCTGGTTACTGCTGCTGCTGCTGCTACTGCTGGTAGGTAATGCTGCTGCTGCTGCTGCTGCTGGTAGGTGCTAAACCCGAAAAACTCATTGACTTCACAGAAGTCGGGGCACGTGGGTAATGAGAAGAACGAACGTGAGCGCCCTAAAGAGGCAGGGACGGAAGATCGTGCTGGCCAGCGGCCGTACGCCCATACCCCGTTACCTCGCTCAGCTGTAATTACGGTACAAAATATGCGACCCACAACGCACCGTGCCGCTGCCCAAAGTAAAAGTACCAAAGACTCTTCAATAGGAGCGTCCCAGCCCCCGACAGCTCATCGCAAGCTTGAGGGCCACATGTAGCTATTACGCTATATTTATGCAGTAATTAAAAAATCCTTTTTAACAAAAATTCGTGCCCACGCACCATGCACCTCCTTTTGCCTTCTAGCATGGATTGCGATCCCCACGGTCGTCGTCGCAGGCCCCAGTTCCAATCCCAGGCCAGGCCCTCCGGGGTGCACAACCCACAAGAGAGCTTCAGAAGCAGAACTCACGTGTACGCTCAACACGCCCTTGCACCGAAAGATGTCCTTCGCCTTCTCAGAAAGCAAGTCCTTCATGTACATATTGAAGCGGTACTCGTCAAGGGGACCGCGAGCCATGATGCCCACAGAGCTCACGTCAGAGAGGTCGTGGAGCCTCTTCGCTCGCCGCTTGGGGTTGCGGTCGCCCTGCAGTGGGAGAGCATGTGAGCATATTATGTATAGGTTGCCGCGTGCCCCCAAGTCCGAACCTCCAAGTCAATCGGCAGGGATATACCCCATTTTTAAACAAAGAAGACCCAAAGAAACAGGGCGAGCTGAACTGCCTTCGTCAAGACAGCCGTTGCAGTGGCAGCTCGCAGCCAGCCCGTTCTGATGCATATATTTTGCAATGGACATGGACCTAAAAGCTCAGACTACTATTACTACTACTACTACTACAACAACATTCAATACAAAAATCAGGACAATGTTTTTGCGTTCCTTTTTAGCGATTTGTTACGGCAAACACACTGAGAGAGATGGATGGGAACAAAAAGCTGAAAACAGCAAGAACAGCGGCAACAATAACTGCGACCCAGATGAATAAAAATGGTGAGAAAGGCGTGGAGGCTGCCGATCCTAATGCAGCCCAGGTGCGCAGGTAATTCTCTCGCTATGCTCCGCAGGGAACGCGGACTGATCCGATGCGCACCCCCGCCCAAGTCGCCGTGAGAGCAGAGAGAGACCTATGCTGTATCCAGCACAAACGGCCTCGATCCTGAAACATCCACGTCGTAAGTATGCAAACCCCAAACAGCTATTATTATGTATATTATTATGTACATAATACGCGTGTTGGGGAAGCAAGCGACGCGACATACGCGAAATGGTTGTGGGGCGCAGACAGATATTGATGATTCTTTTCATCCAGGGACATGACTATTTTGTCTATGCGTTGTAGTGCAGCGGGTTACTCAATGGGAGCCCAAGTGATCAGTTAGCAACGCGAACGCACCTTAATAGGCATGCCATCCACGATATGGCACTCTTCGCAGTTGTCCTCGCAATCGTGCGGCTCCCGGCTATGCTTGCGCCCTGACAGATGTGGTCCATGAACCCCATACTTTCGCAATAGGCTGGCGGCAGCAGACATTGGCTTATCGGTGCTGGTCCCCGTCAGGCCGCTGCTGCGTGCGGCTGCATCCCTTCCAGGCATCGCACCGTCCTCCCCCCTAACAAATGGAGCTCCAGGAACCGCTGCTGCCGTGGCCGTCCCGACATCGTTCCCGTCCCCGTCCCCGCCAATTATTGTCGCCGGATCACTGCTGCCGATGATCCCCTCAGCCGCTGCTGCAGAGGTCGAGGCAGCGTGGCTCGCTTGCCCGGGATCGAGATCGCCTGTTCGCTGCTGCTGCTGCTGCGCTGGGTGCGGGAAAGAAAGCTCCGCATCGTCGCCCGTGTCCGAGTCCGAATCCGAATCCAGGAACTGGGGGTCGATTTGCTGCGGAGCGAGCACATAGCCAAGATAGGGAGGGGTGACAACGTCGGGGAGTGCGGCCTCGGTGAAGCACAGACAAACGTTTGTGAGAGGATGTAAATGAAACATTGTAGGAAATCGAAACGTTGTCTGTTACGGGCAGCTTACCTCCAGGACGCGGTTCACCGAGAAAAGGTTATTGAAGAGGAGGAGGTCCATAGGAGGCCGCCCCGTGTCCTGATTTAGCTGGCATTCAATTACACGTGCTGAGTTATTCAGACTTTTTATGGCGCTCAGGACCTGCTTCTTGGCCACCTCGTCTTTAACCAAATCCACTTTGTTCAACAAAATTAGGTCCGCGAAGGCGATCTGCTGCACTGCCTCGTTCACGGTTCCATCTGAATGCTGACCATCCTCCAAATGCTGCATAAAACCAAAGAAGTCAGTACCCCTCAAACGACCTGAACACTACAACGGGAGGACTTAACTACCTCCCAGCGCACCTGCATCAGATACCGTGCATCCACAACGCAGCTACAAAAAAAGGGAAACCACAATACATATCAGCGATCATAATACGGTGCCGAAGGTCTGGAACCAACTGACTCACATGATACTGTCCAGCCGGTATCGCGACGCCAGCCACGGATTGGCAAAAAAAGTGAAAGCCACTGGCGCCGGGTCTGCCAAACCAGTGGTCTCCAGCACGATTGCGTCGACGCGCTTTGCCTGCTGCCTGCTCCGCCGCTCAATTTCGGCAAAGGCCTTAACTATATCCTTCCGCAGCGAGCAGCAGACACAGCCATTCTCCAATGAGACAAGGTCCTCCTTTGCTAATAAGTTGTCGGCGACTGCGGGGCAAGCGCACAACAGGTTTAGTAGGCGGAACCCTCCCAAACCGACTTTGAACCAGACTGAAACGAAACCCACCCAGCTCCGTGTCGATGTTAACCTCCCCAAATTCGTTCTGTAAAAAATAACAGAGCAGCCGAGGTCGACAGGTTGCAGCAGGTGCAGGAAAAGGGTGTTGGAGAACCTCGACAAGGAGACCACGCCCAAACCGACCTCAATCACTGCGATGCTGCGGCTCCCTTTTTCCTTTAAAATGTAGTTTAATAAGGTGGTCTTGCCAGCACCTAGAAAGCCAGTAATAATTGTCACGGGCGTTTTGCTATTGTTGCCACGGTCGGAGGACTTAGGGGCCGCCATCGTAGGTAGGCTTTCACGTATTAAAGAACAGTTAAGGCATTACTACAATACTATTACAAAGAACAACAGGCCAGAGTTCTGTAGGCGGTCGTATTACGGGATGACTTTGGTAAAAGCTCGCTGTACTGATTGTAGGAAAAAGGGCAGTAGGCTTGATGAGACTCAGTGTGTCATGGGCATGCATGCTCCCTAACCTTAAAGGAGTTTTGTTTTTTTTACGCACAAGTTTGCACACCACGCCTGGGCTTGGCTTGGGACAATCGCTGACCCTCAGTTGACTAGGATCTGAGTAATTTCACGAAAAGCAGACTCATTGTTTCGGATTGCTTAGATAGATAAGCATGGCTGAGGAAATTGAGCTTGCGGGGAGCGGGCAAGGAGGCGGCGAGCAGCATGCACCTATCGTATTTAGCCTGCAGCAGGATCAGCAGGACAGGTCTCAGTCAATCCTTGACGAGGAACGTGAAAAGCATCGACGCAGGTGCGCATGCATGCATGCATCCCTCTCCAAGGGCAAGGTATCGCAGCTTCCGGCAAATTGGTGCCATCGCGCACTGTGCAGGGATTGCCATGCCCCAAATGCATCCCTGGCAGTGTCGCATACATGACATTTTAAATGGTCCACTTTCCATGTAAGGCGGGTTTCGTTCTCGCCGTGCTTGGGGCACAGAACTTAGTGTCGTCGCGGTGCAAGTCAAAGTTGCTAAGCTTGTCCAATTTCAGCGTTTCTGCTTTCGCGTCAAAGGTTCAAAACATTCTCCTGTGAAACTATTGCGATCCCTTAATACATCTTCCACACCTCTCCTACCCGCATGGCCCTTTCGTCCCCTCCTCCCCCGGCCAGTCATCCAATCGATCCTTGATCACCTCTCGTCCTTCACCCAAACCACTATTCCACTGCTCTCTGTACACCGCGCGCCCTCCGGATTTCCAACCCATGGCACCCTCGCTCCCCACATTCCTGTTCGCATTTCGGCAACGTCTGGGTTTCACACCGAAGAGCGGAGCGCTTCGGCACGTCCTATGTGGACCCGGGTCGAGTGCGCAAGGACTTCGGGCTCATGATGGAAGCTCGCAGGGAGCGGCTACGCGCCAGCCATGGGTTTACAACGGGCAATCTGGATGTATTTTCACCGGTGCGTCTAATCGCATTCCTCGGACCCCACGGCGGCATAGGGGCCATACCACCCCGGAGTCATCCTGGTTCATCACATTCACAGGACAGGATATCCTGCAGAGATGCAGATGCAGGGTGCAGATGCAGGATGCAGATGCAGCGTAGATCAATTAACGCAAACAATCCAGATGGGACCTCCGCACTGGCGAGAGGGGGAAGGAGATCTGACGCCATCGGGGATCTGACTGGTCAGCCCCTCCCCCTCCGGCGCAGCGAGCGGCCGTTCTTTTCATTCAGTTGGGCAGGCGGTGAGGAAGGAGAAGCAAGACCGGCCTACGGCAAAAGGGCCCTGCCCTAAAAACGGCCCACAAAAGCAGTCCAGGAGGATGGATGGCAGCTTGGCTTGCACGGGTCGGAAACTAAACAACAACGCAGTTCGCCTGGGACGAGCTGGGTCCGTCAGGGACGGCATCTTCTGAGCGGTTCCTGACAACGCAGTTTTCAGACGTAACTGAACAGCTTCATTCTTTCTAATGTTGATTTTACCTTCATAAAAAAACTGTTTCTTGCATCATTTTGCTTGAAGCATCACTAGACATCCCGCCATGGCCGTCCGAACGTTTGAAATGTAGGAGGAACGAGAGAAGCGCGCCGCTCGAGCTGCCCGCTTCGGGATGGAAGCCCCCTCAGCAACCCCGCTAGACGCGTACAAGCCGGATGGGGAGGTGGAGGCGCGAGCACGGCGGGCAGCCAAGTTCGGAGTGCCGTACCAGCCGGCAGACGCTGTCCTAATGGACATGGGTGGGCGGCCGCGTGCAGTGCTGGGGTATGCGGAGGGGAGACCCTGGGGACGAGGGCCCGGACGCAGCGGGGGAGAAGGACGAGGAGGGAGAGGTTAGGACGAGGAGGGAACTTAGAAAGCTAAAGGCGCATGTTCGGACCAAGGGAAGGGTTTTTCGGGCAAAACGAGTTCAGCAAAGTACGTAAACAACGCGTATACAACGTGGAAAGGCGTAGGAAAAGAGTGGAGAGCGGAAATAAATTGTGTTTGATAAAGCGGGGAGGAACCTGGTTTTTGGAGCTGGCGCAGTGGCATTCGGAGCGTGAAAGCTTGGTGTCTGAAATTTGTGTGATGAAATTGAGTTAGGAACAGGGCCGGGAAATTATGGCATATGGGCCCGTCAGGCTAATATCGCCCCTCAAGATGCCACATACCATTTCCTTGAACCCTTTTTGGTCTTCCTGCCAGCCCAGCATAGAGTGGTCCTGATGGGAACCTGGGACCGTTTCCGATTTCCCTTCGGTACTGGTGGGGGGCTCAATATGCCGTGGTCCCGTCGCCCTGTTTCTTCCTCCCCCCCCCATCTTTCCTCGCGCTCTGTGGGAGCAGACCTGTACGAGCAGCGGCGTGAGGTAGGCAAGGACGTCGAGCGGCGGCCTAACGCTATCTACCTGTACGGCGTGGACGTGATGAGCACCAAGGAGGTTTTGTCGTACTTTGAGGAGTACGGCCCCGTGTTTGTCGAGTGGCTGGACGATTCGTCGTGTAAGTGGGAGGCGGAGGAAGAAGAGCGAAGAGCGAAGGAGGGGATGGCGTGTGTGTTTTTTAGGGCTGAACATCCATGTGCATGTATTTGCATGGATCATTTGAACTGTGTGTCGAGACCTCTTTCCCCCCCCCCCCCGCAGCAGCTTCAATCGTGTGTGGTTCGTCTTCCCCCCCCCTCCGCAGGTAACGTGCTGTTTGACGACTCGAACAGCGCCAAACGGGCCATGGTGGGCAAGGGCACGCCGCTGCCCCCGGAGGTCATGACGGCGGCTGCGGCCGCGGCGGCGGTGCAGGAGCAGGAGCAGGGAGAACTGCAGCAACAGCTGGAAGACGTCGGGGCGCCGGCACCGGTACCAGTATTACGGTACCAGCCAGAGCTCCCCGTGCCGGACAACCTCTCTGACGTGGCCAACCTGCCGTACATCTGGCACAAAGTAAGGCTGTGTCGTATGTACGTAGCACATAGCTTCCGCCCCTCCAAAAAAAACAAACCGCTCTCGTTGCTGTTCACGTGTGCCAAGCAGCCGCAACACTGCTCTGTGCGTGTGTGTGTATCGAATACGCCCTTCTCCCTCAGGGCCAGGACTTCGTAAAGGATGGTACCTCCGTGTCGCTGGTGTTTCGGATGGCCACAACAGAGGACGTCCGGGACATGAGCCAGCCTAAGCGAACCAGGGAGCTCTGGAAATCGGCGGGAGGGGGCGGCGGTGGGGGCGGCGGCGGGGACCGGGCCGGGCGAGGCCGGGGCCGGGGCCAGCAACAACAGCAGGTGGGGGGACTGGCTGAACCACTGGCATTGACCACTTGGACAAAAAGAGGAGTTTTCATCATTTGAAGATTATTGCCCCTTCCCTTCTTACCGTCCAAAAATAACCATGGTGAAAAGGTCATGGAAAAAGCTGCCATGGAAAAAAATACCCATGATCGAAATTCATTACGCCGTCGGTGTGCTCTGCCTGCGGAAGATGGCTATAGGCGAAGCGAAGCTGATATGTGTGTTATTATAGGCTCCCCCTGTTTTTGTGCCCTCTGTTTGTATGGCCCTCGGATGTACGGTAAATAACGGTCGCACGACTTGGTAAGGCGGGGGCGCCAGGTCTGCTGGTTAGCTGCTGGTCCTTTTCACAATGCGCAAAGAAGGTTGCATTGGTCGGTTGTTTCCTTTTTGGGTGTATTTATATATATACACCCCGGACTCTGCTGCCTGACCTGTGATCGCGTAGGTGCATCATTATAATTGTTGTATTATCAACTTGACCTCAGTTCTGACCACCTCACATCACCTCATATCGCGGTTGTTGCTCCGTTGTGGCTCCGGATGGATCCTTGGTGCAGAGGCGAGGCAAGCGACCGGGCCGTCCTGGCAGCGGTGCCAATGGGGATGGCGATGGTCCCGCCGATATGGACGTGGATGATAACGGCCACGGGGCAGGGACGGTACGTCTCCTATTTATTTCTCTCTTACGGCGAAGGGGCGTATATCCATATCCTTGTCTGCATGCCGTGTGCACGCGAGCGCGTGATCCTAGATAGGCACCCTGTGTCTCTAGTCGGCCTCAACTTTCCTTTTACGATTTTTCTTTCCCTTCCCTCCTTCCACTCCTTCCACTCCCTCAACTCCCTCAACTTACTTCATTTATCCTCTCCTGGACTACTATCCGTCTGTCTTTGGTAGCTGCTCCATTCGCCAGTGGTTCGTCTTATCCCCCTCAACCTCCCTCCCCTGGCCCGGGTGACATCGCAACAGAACGACGAGGATGATGACCGCGAGGTACCCAGGAAGCGCTCACGCGGCGTTCGGGGCGGCCAGCGGCTCGCCATGCGGGAGGTACGGCCGGTTCTGCAGCCGTACGGCGGTACGGGCCTGCTGCAGGTTGGTGGTGCCGTGCTGCCGGCCAAAGGCCACGTGCTTGACTACACGGAGTTGGAGGATGAGGATCCGGTGGCGGCGGCATCGGCCGCGGTATCAGTGGCGAAGGGGATGAAGGCGGTGCTGTCCGGGGGCGGCGGTGGCATGGGAGGTGGCGGGGGGGGTGCGGGGGGACGGGCTGGGACGGGCGGGCGGAGAGGGGGGAGGAAAGGCCGAGGAAGGGGACGAGGGGGGGAGGAAGGAGAGGGTGTAGACAGGCCGGAGGTGGATGTTCGGGAGCTGCTGAAGGCGCGACGGTCGCGGCTGCCGGCGCCAGCTAAGGGCGGGCCGGGGCAGGAGGGCGTCGACAGCGGCGATGACGGGCTTGTTCATAATGGTGATGGCCATGATGGTGGGGGTGGGGAGGACGGCGTTGGGATGATGGGCGGCGAGGAGGGGGCCGTACACGTCGACGTGACGGAGATGGTGGAGTAAGCGGCATGCGACGGCATGCGCATGCCGCTGCGCTGCGTGTCGCAAGGATGTAAGCTTGAGTTTAGGCAAGAGGAAAAAATCGGAGTTTGAAGGGGGGAGGATTCGTGTAGTCTTGAAGGAGAGGGTGGCGCGGAAACGGGCTTTCATGCACAGGTGGCTGTCTATGTATAGGCGCCGTCATGTAAAGCTTAGGGCTACTTCGGGCGTCGGCCTCAGTTTGTCTGAACATTGGTGGGGGGTAGTACTTTTGTCGGTGGAGGAAACAAACCTTGACTATCGTTCTTCCTCGTTGGGGTTGGGGAAAATAAGGGCCGGAGTATTGCCTGAGCCCCAGGGCTGGTTAGGGCGATCTGCTGCGGCAGCTTAAGCTTTTGCGAGTGAGTGAGCTGCAATTCTGTGCCTAATTTTGCATGGAAGAGGGGTTATGTTTCGTTTATGCTGCTGCACATTTTCCGGGCATATAAGAGACACCAGTGGCTGGGGGGCAACGTGGCGATTATGCACATTTGGCGTGCATACACAATTAACAAGTTCCACACAAACAAATACAAATAGCGCCTTGATTATGTATCCCTCTAAATGTCCCCAGTGATTGACAAAGGCGATCCAGTTTATTTTGCATTTGTAAACCGCATGCATGCGTGCATGGGCATGGGCGTGCGGATTGGAGCAATCTTCAACGGAAGTCGAATGCGGTCCAATCGGAGTACCGTGACCGGGCCGTCTACGGCGCATGCAGCTACCTTTATTTGTGCGATTATCGAGCATGTGGCTTTCCATGCTCTATACGCGCCAGAACAAATGATTTTGTGTTGTGGACCGTTCCCCGACTGTTACTTTCGACTTCACATCTGACGCTGCCACATCGCCAAACCATGTAAAGCTTATTTAGTTACTTATGAAGAAATTTAAACCACATTACTTAAAAGGGACCTGGCATTGTACTGCTGATAGGTAAGGCGGTATGTCATCGATATACGAAAAACCGTAGGAGGTTCACTCTTTATTACGTAGTAGATGTTGGAGGATTTCAAAGAGGTTCGAATCGAGGGCGTATATCACTAACGATTGTATTTTTAGATTATTAGGTGCAGTAAGCATTGCACGTTACGCATTCCTAGAAAGGTTTTGTTTCTGTTCTTGGAAGTATCGGACACGCGTACTGCAAGACATGTTGCACTTGCAGTAAATTATCAGGTTCATCGCCATTTTCAACTAATCTTCCCTTTGTCATCTGATAGTGCCTCTTCTATGTTGACATGCGTGGTTAAACAGATGAAGTGAGCATCACCTCGGCGGGCTTCGCGAACTGACTTCGCCTTTCGGCTGGCGGACTTCTCTTTCTGACTGGCATCATGCCTTATTCCCTCTTGTTGGAGTTGCAGTATTTCGAACTATCACCACTTCTATAACTACGCAGAGTCCGGCTTCGCTTATAAGACGGTAGTAATCTCCGCCTCCTAGCTTGGGCGGGCTAGCTGCGAAGGCACAACTAGTCTTATGCGAACGCGAACTACTTGCATTGCCTGTTTTGCCCTTGTGGTCTCTTAATATATCATCGTGTCTAAACTTTGTATTGTGATTTTGGTAGTGACCTTCAAAGTGCGATGTTGCAAGATAACAGCCCGCGTGTGAATTTTGCTCACCTTGTGAAAATTGTATTTTATAGGTGTCGTTTTTTAACTCTAGTGGTAAGGACAGGGGCCTCGACGCTGGCGCCGTGCTTCTGCCGTGCGCATCAATAAGGACCGTTCCATATCTCGACGCGTCTTCTATTTGGCATTATGATCATCCCCTCTCAAGACGTTGGACATGGATCTAGGCTTGTTCCGAACATCTCTTCTTTGATATTCGGCGTAGCGACCACTAGTCCCGATCGGCATGCGTGCAAAGATTCCTTGCGCAACTCTGCTCCCCTACGTCCAACTGGTCGGATTCAGTCGTGCATTACATTTAGCGGCTCGCTTCCAAAATGTCGCAAATTTCATTTGCGTGTCGAAAGTGGAGCCATGGATTCGACAGGTGTTGACAGCGTCGTGTCTTGCTTGTTAAGCTCGCAGGCAGCAACTTGCAGCCCTTCGATTTACACAGAGCCTTTTGCGAACAGTTTCTGACTTAAGTTACATGCAACTGTCGGCGGGACGATCGGACACCGAGATAGTCCTTGCATGTCCATGTAGCGAGTTTGCGAATTTTTCAATGCTTTAATCCCTTGACGCCCTCCCGTATAGGTCTCCCTTGTTGTCAGCATCATTTGCCAAACAGTCCCTAAGCCCTGATGCCTTACCAAACAGAAACCTGGTCATGGAATTCATGGCTAAGCATCATCTCGATGAACGCTGCTGCAATCCAAGAAACTCCCAACCGCGTACTGACATCGCAGCGATGCGCGCGCGCATCTTACAACAACCTTAGCCACATTGCACTTGCTGTACGGCTATACACCCACACACGTACCCGTACCCGTACCCCTGCCGGGATGCCAACACCTCGCACGTTGCATACTCTAATACTCTCGCCCCCCCATCCCTCCACATGCATCAATACCGCCACTCGCACACACACACACAACACGCAGACCTCCTCTTCGGCGTCTGTAAGCGACCGCGCGCTGATTGTTCCAGCTGCCGAGCGCGACACAGCCCTCAGCACCACCACCACCACCACCACCACCACCAACAACAACAACAACGTCCCTGCGCTGTGTTTCGGCCCGGTCAGGGTCCCCGGTGCTCGTCCTTTCTCGGGCGAGCCGCCCACAGTGTAACACCCCATCAACAACAACAACAACAACAGCAACAGCAGGTTATCCGAGATTGCGGCCGGCATTCCCTCGGCACTTCACCACTCGCCCCCGCGCTCCCAAGTGTAGCAGTCGCTGCGGGGCCTCCTGCCCCGATCCAAAACCTCCTGGATAGCAGCCTGGTCTTGCTCGTCCAAAGTGAAGCCGAACAGCCGTACTTGATCCTGCAGGAAGCGCGGGCGTGGCGTAAAACGTCGAGCAGACACGGGCCATACAGTTGGCTTTCCTTAGTAAAATATACAGCGTAGTATTTGTAGTATTTAACGTTAGGCTTTGGCAACACGTGACTCTTCACGAGTCTGGAGCCCACTGTAGCAACCACGCATACAGACATACACACACATACACACACACATACACACACACATACACACACACATACACACACATACACACACACATACACACACACATACAGACATACACACACACACGCGCGCGCGCGCGCGTAATGCTGTACGCAGTCCAACAGGTCCGATTTTCAAAACTCGGTGACGCCTTTGAGGCCGCAGGGTAGAGCAGTCTGTTCAAGCTACTGGAACTTGATATACAGCAGGGAAATAGCCTACTGCTGCCGTACCGCTATCGTACATTGACCTAAACCCCCTTCAGAAACCAGTGCAGCCCAACCGAGCCATAGTACATAATATCCCATGCCATCGACATGATCGCCAACATGATCTCATCACCACCCCGGGGACCCTCTCACCTGAACATGATCCGCATTTCGCGCGCCCAAAATGACCGCAGCTACCCCTGGGCGATCCAGCACCCAGCGAGCCGCCACGTTGGAGATGGTGGTGTCGTGTTTGCGAGCCACGATATCCAGGGCCTTATTATGGGGGTGTACGACAGGCAGCAGGGAAAGAAAACCCGGCGAGTCAGGCACGGTTGTCGTTTGTGCGGGTAACGGGGGGATTTCGGCTTCCTAGGGGTCCTTAGCAAGGAACGGCCCACCCAGGAAGGGGCTGGGGGGCATGACACGGAAGCAAACTCAAGGGAGGGGGGATACCAACGTGGCACAGCAAAGAAAGGCACAGAACGGGTACGGCCCTTTCGACACGCGGACGGCGGATCCCGGCGGAACCCGTGTCGTGGGGGCAAACCGGGGAGGTGTAGCCGGTACCTAAACGCCGGCAGGGGAGAGATGGAAGAGGACATCTGACGATGGGCTCACTGGCTCCTAACTACGGGCAGCTGCTGCAGCTGCTGCTGCTGCTACTGCTACTGCTGCTACTGCTGCTGCTGCTGCTCCAGAACCTTCCATTCTTCCCCCCCCCCGCCTTTCCTCATATTCCCCATGCCCTGCAGCCCTGCCGCCCCCGGCTCCCTCCCTGTCGTACTCACTCCGTCGTACTCACCTGCAACAGGCTCTGAAACCAGTCCCAGCCTCCCACGGCATTAATAACCCCCGCATACTTGCCCTTGCTGTACGTGTCCACACTAACCCTAGGGCATGAAGGACGGGAAAAGGGGGGGAAGGTGTTATGGAGGGGGGTTGGGAGAGAGGGTATCGGCGCGGAGCGGTTCGTGGAGGGCGGCAGAAGCAGTGACAGCGCCAAGCAGGCTGGTCATGTACGAGCACCGGGCGGATCTCGGCGCTTGCGCTCTCAGCATTTAGAGGTCGCAGATAACGGTGTGTGCTGCCTAAGTTTACTCTGCGGAAGCAAGAGTGGACACGAAGTCACGCAACCCATGTAAGCTCAGGTTATACAGGTAATACATACATACATACATACATACATACATACATACATACATACATACATACATACATACATACATACATACATACATACACACACATACATACATACATACATACATACATACATACATACATACATACATACATACATACATACATACATACATACATACATACATACACATGCACACGTACTTGTTGGCGGGCATTCCCAGGTATTTATCGGACAGGAAGCCGCCCGCCAGAACACCGTACGATAACAACGCGATGCCGTTGGCGGCGCAAAACTGAGCCATACCGTTCTCTGGCCGGCGATCAAGTAGCGAGTACTGCAGCTGTAGGAGGAGGGTAGGGTGGTGGTGGTGGTGGTGTGTGTGTTTGTATATGGAGAGAGAGAGAGAGAGAGAGAGGGACGCAGGAAGGTCAGATGAAGGGACAACACTGTGGTGGAATGGATTCGGGTCGGGTCTGAGTGCGCCGGGAGGGGGGAAAGACGAACCACGAACGAGTGAAGCTGCTGCCAAGGAAAAGGGTGTAGGGGAGGGGACGGGACGCGGCAATAAGATAGAGTAAAATAGGTTGGTGAGGGGGTTGGGGGGGGTTGGGGGGCTGCACCTTAACATGCCGGGTACGTGCTGGATGGCACGCGGGACATCCATGGCGGGACGTCATGTAGCTGCTACCCTACGTACGTGGCTGCCTTAGCCATCATGCATGCATGCATATGCGCCTACATTTCCTCCCTCCCCCCCCCCCCGCGCTCATATTCCCTTTCCACGAGCCACTCTGTGCATGCGTGCATGCATGAGACCCAATTTGCATCTGACAAGCATCCAAGCAGCGACTCAACAGCTGCTCAACAGCTGCTTTGTCTCAACGACGACCCGTCGTTACCTGATTCGATGCGATGTACACCCCAGCTCGTACCATGGCGTCCATGCGCGGTACGTCAAAATTTGTAACGCCTACATGGCGGATAAGGCCTTCCGAAGCCAGCTCCGATAGGTACAGCGCGCCGTCCACATACCTGTGCGCTCCGAGACCGGTCCATTTTCACCAAAACACCCCGAACCAAAGCATCAACCCAGTTGGAGCCACAAAAGCCTCCCCACGAGAGAACGAGAGGGGACATGGACGGCAAGGAATTGTCGCGCTAAAACCTTCATGACAAACAACTGCGTTGGGGTTCCTAAGTTCGTCGGCGCCTACAAAAATCCATATTTTGATCTCCTCCGACCTCTTTCCCTACCCCGTTCGTACACGTATGCCGTACCTGTTGACGTCATAATCGCCCCAGTAGAACTGCATGAGGTCCACTCGATCTACTCCCAGTCGGCTCCGAGACAAGTTGACGGCCTTTTGCAGGCGAGGCGGTTTGTACGGAGGTAACGATAAGCGGAGGCCGGGGCCGGGAGCCCAGTATGCCGTACATACACACAAACACACGCGTAAACACACAGCGATATGTTTAGGGTGACACACCACTTTATAAATAAGAGTGACACAAACACACATCTGCACACATCTGCACACATGCATACATACATACCTACTACTCCCGGCCGACCCGGGTTCAAATCCGCCTACCGGCTCCTCGGGTGTTTGAGGAGTGTTGAAATGGGAGGTGGCCCCCCGTCATACGGACGATGTAGGACCTGATAATATCAACTTGCGAGCTGAACAGGAACTAAGTTGAGGCGCCGTTGATCCGCTAGATTTGGTTGGATGCTGGTGGTGAGTTGCCGAACCCAACGAATATATTCTGAAGTCGGATGGGGTGAATGGATTAGGGTGCCCCTCTAGCAGCAGGGGAGAGCAGGGACTGCCTCGGGAAAGGGGGCCGCTGGCGAAGTTAACCACTCTGTAACAACATACATACATAATTACACGCAGCTTAAATTTGCAACAATACACGCGCACCTGCTTGACAGCCTCCCTGTTGATGCCCGCCATGTCCCTCCGGCCGAAAACACAGTACTTGGTGAGGACCTGGGCGTGGGGCAGTACACCGGGGTCTGGACAGGGCGGTGGGGTGCGGGAAAATGCTGCGGGTGCATTTCCTGTTCCTGTTCCTGTTCTGTGGTGTGAATGAATGCATGCATGCATGCATGCATGTATGTATGTATGTATGTATGTATGTATGTATGTATGTATGTATGTATGTATGTATGTATGTATGCGTATGTGCGCGTGTGAGGAGAGAAAAAGGCATCTTACATCTGGATTTCAAATATCGCTGCCCTCATCATCACCGGCCTGATATGCCGTACGCGCATTCATGTACATCACCTTCCTCTGCTCAATGAAGCCGTCAAGACTCGAAAATTGCATCAAGCAGTGTTCCTCGAACAATTCTTAACTGCAGAGTTTTTTTACCTCTTAACTCCTAACGGCTAACCGTTAACCGCCAACCTGCGTGTTGGGAGGTCGGCGATCCGGGTCGGTTGCCAGGTACCGCCCGATGAGGGTCTCCGCGGGCCCGTAGTGGTCAGCTGGGGGGGGGGCCGTGCGATGGTGGGTCAGAACGGGACAGATTTGCGCACACTGAGAACGGGGCCAACTGCCGATGTGAACACCCCGTATGTATGTGTGTTGGGGGGGTGGGTGGGAAGAAGAGGAGGCGGACGGGAGAGAGGGCATTACGTAGCGCTTGGAGAAATGTGGGAGAGCCTATAGCCCAGCCTAGGGGGCGAGGGGGGGGGTAGATGGACTGATGGCTGAGGGGTAGGGGCTGCTTTGCGGTGGCGGGTTCGGGGCTTGACTGGCAATAGTGGTGCTAGAGGTGATGCTAGTGGTGCTAATGGTGGTCGTATTTCTCTCCCCTTTCCGCACCGGCATCAAAAGTGGTGATGCCGGCGGCAGCAAAACGGCCAAAGTCCTCCACCGCCGCCAGCCCGCTGGTGCGGTCCGAGGTGCGATCCCCCCTGCGGAGCAGCATGTGACATACACACAAATACAAACATATACACATACATACACACATACATATACACATACACACATTCCCCCAGGGCATTTCCCCCCCCCCCCGATTTGAAGAGGAGTGTCTCAGTTCCCAATATCGTGTAGCATCGGGGCGGCACCGCCGCCAGGGGACTGAGGTTTGAGTGCAGAGCTTACGATCACGACCTTGCTTTGCAAACTTCCTCCTCACCAGCATATCCTAATACCCCGCGAAACCGGCCCACAACCAGTTTCGCAAACAGACAGACAGGCAGACAGGCAGACAGACAGACAGACAGGCAGACGGGCCCAACCCGGGCTCTGCGAAAGCACATAGCCGCCCCCACCTCGTCTGCCCCACCTCACTGTATACCCCCCTATCTATATATGCCTTATGATTGCGGAGGACGAGGTCGCTGCTGTGGTGTTCATCCCCCCACCCGTCCACCCGTCCACCCGTCCACCCATCCTGGGGACCTACGAGAACCCTAAGAAGGGACACCCACTCACCACCGCCTGTGCCTTTCCCCCGCCCCAAAATACACACATACACATACACACAGACATACACACAGACAGACGCGCACCGGTGTCCCCCGCTAAGTTGCCAGCAACCCTTAACGACCTAATTGAAGCGGGGGAGAGGCGGAAGGGGGCGGAGGGAGGAATGAGGAGTGGGTGAGGAGCGAGGCGACGGGGGTGCGGCCCGACTGCAGGACTCCCTGAACAGGGGAAAGGCCTGGGGCAGGAGGGAGATGGGTGGTGAGAAGTGGCTTATGAGGAGGGGCGAATGACGAGGATACGGCGATGATGATACGGAATGGGGTCTACAAAACACTCAAGACTGTATCGAAAATCTATCAACCACCAACCGAATTTCCAACCGAATCAAGCCATGCACCAACGCACCCTGCTTATATTCAGCCCGGGGGCCAAATCAATACGCTCCACAACAGGGGAATAAGCGGCAGTAGCAGTAGCCGTAGCTGCCGTTGCCGCTGCAGCAGTAGCAGGGGCCGCCCTCGCGGAGGACGTCCTGGGATCGCTGGCAGCGCTACAGCCGGTGACCAGGAGAAGGGTAGCCGCAGAGGAGCCTCGCCACAACACGTCACGTCGAGTGGCGCTAGCGGTGCTGCTACTGCTACTGCTACTGCCGCTGCCGCCGTCGTGGCGGCCAGTATCATCAGAGATGCTTTGATTGCTGGTCGGGAGAGGAGTGTGGGACTGCGGTGGTGTGACAACACCAGTGGTTGGAATGAGGGTTCGATGCGTTGTGGCCCGACTAGAGGCATCTGGATTCTTTAGGACAGCGAGCTGAGTTGTTTGTGCAGGGGATTGGGTTCCGGAGCCAGTTCCGGATCCGGTTGCGAAGGTAGACGGGTAGCGGGAAATAAGTTGGCAGCGGCTAAGGCCACGTGGGCATGGCGCTTGCAAGCCGCAGATGTTGGACAGGTTGATGATTCTATTGTTGTCATGACAGCAAGCATGACGTCGTTGCATTGTTGGTAATATTGCAAAATATAATAGTATATTTGGCTATTGGAAATGTTTCAAATCACAAAATTTACTAGGAACGTTCAATGATCCATATGCTGCATATGTGGCTCCGGAACCTGAATGAATCATCCTCCATAAATCTTTACTGAAAATAAGACATGTGTATTCCTTAACTATGCACACACCATAATGCCGTCATGCCACGTGGCCAGCACACGCCGTCGACCAAAAAAAGTTCATAACCGCGCAATGCCCAGAGCCCAAAGCCAAAGGACGTTCCCGCGCTTTCTTAAAAGCATAGTAAGCCTCACAACGCACACATCAGCTGACGCGCGACCCATGTGGATTACGCACAGCCCACCAAACCTCTTGGATCGAGCTCATCCACCGGCTCAAATACCATCAAACGTCCGCCCACAGCACCTCTCGCTCCGCGTTTTCGCGTGGCCGCCCTGGCCGCTAACCCTGTTGCGTTCCCCCGCCGGGTACCCCATCCCCTGCTGCCCTCCCTCCTCCGCCATCACCCCCCCATCTGCTCCACTGCCGGTCCTCCGCACCCTCCGTAAACGTTCGCGCCGCGTGCTCCAACACCCCAGCGCCCAGCTGCTTGTTGCATCGGGCCACGCGGCGGGTGTCGTACTCAGCAAACCCGGGGGTAGAGCGCAGCTGGTCGGCAGTGATGGGGTTCCCCTGGAGGGATAACGTGGCCAGGCTGGCACAGTCGCGCAGTACGGCGGGCGGTACGGCGGTGATCCTGGGGATGGTGCGGGATAGTGCAGCGGCGGCGAGATGAGATACAGATTCTACTAATGAATTCTACCTCGTGAATACACATGATATACCGACTTCTGCGCTGCATCCATCTTCGGTGATAGTTCTGCACAACTGGATGTGTGTCGGGAGAACTTTCATTTTCCCGAGAGAACTTTCTTCTTGATCTACCGGATGGTCGGAGCCGCGAGGGGGGAAAGCGGCTCATCATTGAGTTCCATCCCCCAGCGGCGCACGACTTCCCCTCCTCGCAGCTAACGCACATGCACACACGCACATACATACATGTCGGGGTCAGGAGCACACAAGACTAACCGGCTTGTGCTGTGTGCTCCCGACCCTTGCGCTGTGTTTCGGCTTCGGCCCCGGCTCTCGCGGCCCACAGTGTAATCTAAGTCATACATACATACATGCATACATACATGCATACATTCATACACACACCGTACCCACATGTTGTTGTCCAGTCGTACTGTCTGCAGGCGAGTCAGTAGCGCCAGGGAGGGTGGCAGGTGGCGAATGCGGTTTCCCTCCGCGGACAGCTCCTCCAGGGAGGTGCACCCACCTGCCCGGGGGAAGGGGCGGTTAAGAGGGTGTGTGTATGTGTGTATTTATGTGTGTGTTGTGTGTGCACAAGAACAGTTAATGCGCAAAAGTGTGAAGCAGGAACTACTGATGGTACCATCGTACAACACGCATGCGCGCAAATATAAAGTATTAAAAAAATAATAATGTAATTTCACGGTAATTTCACGCCGCAATCATTTTGTCGATTTGCTGCCGCTGCTTCGGACTCTCGCGCGCTCCAGCAGCAGTTTTGCGACTTTGGAAGTCAGTCGGCATTCGGCATTCGGTTAGTGTTTTCCCCCTTCTTGAAAAACACTTTGCTGCTTCCCCCCTATATTCCATCCCCCGCCTGCCTCCCTCCCCCTCCCTCCCCGTCCCTCCCCGTCCCTTCCCCTCTACCCCTTCCCTCCCTTCCCCTCCCTTCCCCTTACCCCTTCTCCCCCTTACCCTCGCCCCTCACCCACCTAACCCGTCCGGCAACGCCTCCAACCTGTTTCCATCCGCCGATAAAACCCGGAGCGCCCTCAGCCGACACAGACCCTCAGGCAGATGAGTGAGCAGGTTGCGATTTAAACTGAGGACCTGAGGGGGGAGAGAGGAAAAGTCCAGAGGGAGGCGAGGTGGATAGATAATGGGCGGGGATAGTGGCGGAAGCGCAGAACCAGTAGCCGGGGGAGGGGGGCGGGGACGGGGGGCCGAGAGAAAGGGACGGGGGGCGGGGGAATACTCCATCGACACACACAACGCGTATCGTATGTATCTTCAAACCTCAGTCAGCTATTGCGGGTCGAGTCATTACGCGTGTACCGCCATCGTCATGCATTTCCCTCATCGCAGCTATCAGATGACCAACACACCAACAAACACAAACACACACAAACATACGCGCCTGCAGCGCCTGCAGCCCCACGATGCCCTCCTCCGGCACCCTCTCCAACCCCCCGTTGCAGTCCAAGCTGAGGGCGGTGAGGGCGGTCAGCTGGCTCAAGGCACTCCAGGGAAGTCCCTCCGCGGTCAGCTGGTTGTGATCCAGGCGCAGTGTGTGGAGGGAGGTGAGGCACGCCAAGGAGGCCGGCAGGCGGCACAGGCGGTTGTGGGACAGGTCAGCGAGACGGGCTGAGGCCAGGCCGGGGGAGGCGAACAAGGGCTCAGCTGCGACGCTGCGGCCCTGGCCCTGCCCCTGGCCTTCACCTTCGTCTTCGTCTCCTCCAGGGAGGGCTGTCAGTCCTAGATCCCGCAGGGAGATGAGCCCTAGGGTTTAAACAAAGGGCGGGAGGGAAGACCAATCCGGTAGTTGTGAACGGCCTCTGCGGGTTATCGCTACTCGCTGCTGTCCACCGCCAACGGAATTTCGTTTGTGGAGAGGAGGTTAAGTTGGGTTGGGTTGGGTTTCGCATGGGTCTTCTATATATATGGGGAGCACAGTACAGGTACGGTGATGCCGTCGCCAGTCTCATCCAGCTAGCTAGCCACCGCCAGGTTGAGATGTTCCCCCCAACCCGTCCCCTTGACCCCCACACCAAACCCTTCCGTCTGGTAATGGTAGGGTGCGAGCCCGCACAGGCGGCGCCGGTTTCCCCCTCTAATTTAAAAAATAGAGCAAGGAGGCCATTCATTCGCCATCCCGCCTCGCCTGTCTTCTCCCAGATCCGTTTGCGTTCCTGCCAGTCGATGGCCGGTCCGACCGACGCGGCTGCTGCCGTGGCTGCGGCCGCTGCTGCGATGGCGGTGGCTGCCGCGCCGCCGAGGCCCTTGGCCTGCGCGTACAAGTCCCTCACGCGCTGCGCGGCTTCCTCCTGTTTCGCTTTTTTTTGCTGCTGCAGGGCCTGCTGGCCTTGGGTCGCCACGGCTGTGCCGTCGCTGAGCAGCAGCATGAGCTTCGCGCCATGGGCGAGGCCAGCCTTTGCGAGGTCCTGATTGGCAACTAGCACCTAGGGGTGGGAAGGGAAAACGTTGTGTGGGGTGCTGGGGGTCGTGCCTGGGAATGCCGGGGGATGTGTGTGTTGTGCGGGCGCAGCGTGTGACAGCGTTGGTGTGTGCTCCGCAGACCTTTCTCGCCGGCATAGGACAGAAGCGAGCAGGCATACACTTGCATCAGGCACGTCACGCTATCACAAATTGTATATATGTGTTATCTTAAATGAGCGAGAATGCAGGAAATATATATTTTGAAACTGGCAGTCGATGGCCAGGCATCGGACCAGTAATGACGTTGTCCCGGACGTACCTTCCCTTTGTGGATTAATTTTTGCTTTCTAATAAAAGCTCCGGTGAGGTCCTGTAATCGCTCCTGTAATTCCTGGACTTTTGCTGAAGCGGGCAGAGACACCTCCAACTGCTGCGAAGCATGTTTAATCTGCAAAGTCCACAACTGCCCGGCGTCGCTCATATGTGCAGTTCCACGTTTACTACTTTTAAATAAGTCGTGCACGGCAAAACATATCAAGATTAGACCAGTTTGAACTCTGTTATCTTGCGGTTGAGTACCCTTATGTTGAACGTGTCAGCTTTGTAGTAGTAGAATGTCTGCATAAAACTGCAAAGCGAAGATATAGCAAGCAGCTGTACTGAAGCCGACGAATAAGCTGTCCAGTCAGTTTCAGGTTTCATCACGCTCGTACACCAGGGTTACATGACGCCCATGCGTCGTGGGTGTATTGGTGCCTACAACGCCTCAGCCCGTTAACTACCATTTCAGCATTCTCTACTTCCGAACTAGCAGGACGCGGTACACCTGTCCCTTGGTCGCCTTCTCCACATAGACTTCTCTTTCCGTCGGTGCACCTACGGGGTTTCCTACCAGCCAGCCAGCCTGATTCCACGACCCCTTGAAAAATAACAGGTCTTCATCCGCCGCATCACTAGCTTGGCCCTCAGACCCACGGTCCTGCTTCTCCTCCGATTCAAAAAATTGCCTGTTTATTTCTCCATCCACCGCCCCTTGTAATTGCGCTGAAGACAACGACGGCGTCTGCACAGCTTGGGCGGAGCAGCCAGAGTAAAGCTGCGCTGATCCGACAGGAAAGCCTCCCGAACTCTGAACACGTGAAGTGGGCGTCGCCGTGGTCGCAACTAATACACCAAGATCAGTGGATACAGATGTGCATGGAACGACAGGTTGGGCGGTGTGGACATCATCGATGCGGAAGCATTCCCTCCCGTATCGCTCAAATGCGTTGCGCATGTAGGTTGCCGTATCCTCAAAGTCTGAAGCTAGGTACACGCGTGCTGCGAAAGCGCACGGGAACCACAAGCGAGAGCTTCAGTTAATATACAGAAAACAAGCTTTGGGCCAAGCGCCATGCTGCCATTTCACAACGATGCGAAGTACAACACCCACATGGCATTTCTTGAATTGCATGAAAAACGACGTCCTTACGAAAAAATTTGCACGACACATCTACAGGCACATACCTCTAGGTTTGAGAACTTGCGCCAAAGCTTCCACAAGCTCTTTCCCTACAATATGCCGCTGCCGGCGCTGCTGAGGATCCGGGAACTGAACGCTCACGAGCTCAACCGGACCGGGATACGACGCCAGCAATGAACCAGCAGAGATGACGGCGTTGGCTTGCAGGAAGTGCACATTGCCAGACAAGGACCTTGAAGCAGCCCAGCCATTAGCTCTGTCCAAGAGCTGCGATTGAGGGAGAGCAGGGAATGGAAGGAGCATGCTAAGCACCCGAGCAGCTGAGGCCAGAATAAAAGAATATGATTATCCCAGCTAATCTAGATACTATACCAAAATAACAAGCAAACGATCTTTGCACGCCGATTTCTAGTCGGAAGTAGGCTTTGTACTTGGCGCCTGTGCGCGTGTTGGTCATGTAAGATCCCTCCGACAGTACCTCAGGGTTAAGGAAAAAAAGGCCCATGGGCACCTATAATAGGAACTTCAGCGCTGTGGCAGCCCTTTTGACAGATGACACCACGGAACAGGTGGTCAGCTGCTTCGAAGAGTGCCATCATATATGCACGTTCAGGTGCAGTGCATGGGACTCCTATCTAATCTTCATGAGTCTGGAGCCCAGTGTAACAACCACACACACGTTTGTAGGAATGGGTCGCGTCTATCGTGTAATCGTGCATGTGTCTTCTAGTAGTTGTGTAGTCCAGGAAACGTGCGTGTCTAGCTCTAGGCATGCAGCGGCCAATGCATAGAGCATCCTGCATGCCCTACCATCCTAAACTTGCTGACAAACCCAGCAGCTGAGCAAAGATGACACCAATCAGGGGTCCTAAAAACGCGCCCAGCCGCAGGCAGCATCCAGACTCCCCGTACTTACCGCTTTGTGTACGTCGACACCTAGATAGTTATTTCCACGGCCCTTGCGATGGGCCATTAACACGATATAACGGCCAGCACCGCAGCCCAGATCGACGATGAGCGGTCTGGTAGGGTCTTCATAAATTGCGCTCCAGTTAACCGTTTCGATGGGTTGTTGTCCATCAGGGCTCATCAGGAAGGAGTAATTCCTGCGGCCTATTGCACCGCCGGCCTACCTGCGCACAAACGGTGCAAGAATTGAGGCAAGAAAGTTGGGCTTAAACTTAGGAAAACTATGGCTGGAATGTGCACTGTAGAAGTGCCAGGAATGTGAACTGTAATCAGTCACAACTCACATTTCGCTCCGCTTCACTCAGGTGAAGCTCATGAAAAGGCGAGTCAGGCGCATCAGCATGCCCTTGAGCGAGCCAGGTCTGGTGCTTAGGCAGGCTGCTGTTAGCACCGTGAGTAACAATAAGGAAACATCTGCGAGATTTCATGTAATTCCGGCATGAAGCGAGTCTTATCCTAACGCAAGATGGACCGGCCGCCACACTAGCCGCCAACGGCAGGGCGACCCCGGTGATACTGCGGCGAACACCTGGGCATGTTGGCCCAGTACGCCATTGAAGGAAACAACGCACAGGATCCATGGCGGCAACTGGAAACTGCGGATCGCCACCTATCAAGTCGTCGTTAGTCGCGCCATAAATTATCAAAATGCATAAGCTGCATGCGATAGGTATCAACTCAATTGGGCTTCAACCTCTTAAATGCAATAGAATGGCGGCGCCTGAATGTCGTATATGCTTTTCTCGTGCAGGCCGTGCAAACGATAACTGCTCGGACATCTGTGCATATAGACAAATAATTCGCATCCAAATTGTATACCAGGTGTGGCTATTATCAGCATACTGAATTTACAGCAGAAATTAACATCTGTCCCTCGGGTCACATGGCAACTCGCAACGCAAGGCATAGCTGCCTAGTTGAAGCCTATGCGTCCTAATGCATACATATTTTTTATTTCCTGTTCCCATAGTCATTGGCCCTAACCCTTACTTGGCCGTAACCGCGCATGGCAGAGGGGTTGTCCTCTTGTCCCTCACCTCCCATGCATTATTAACCTCGAAGCGCCAGGAAGCGCCAAGCGCTGGAAACGCCCCTCGCTTTCTTCGCGAGGACAATCCTTCGGCCATTCTTGTAAAGAACGCAATCTTCCCATGCGATACTCTTTAAAATCATGATGAATTGCGACGATCCTCCCCTGTCCGTGCACGTGTTGTGAACAGACAGAAGTGAACAGTGATGGACCGAAAAGCTGGGGCTCCTTACCAGGCGCGAAATTGTACATCCTGCTAAAAGTAATCAGACCGCCCAACATGCACCAGAGCCCTTTCTATTCATCTAATCGCAGGCAGAAGGAAATCCTGAACGTGACATCGACCATGACCGCTTATGCAACCCTGAATTTGGGCCATTCGTGCCGCGCGAAAGCTCCCTGAAAAATCCCGAAATCCGGTCGCCGACGCGACCGATATCTTACAGAAATAGGAGCACTTGTAGCGGGAGCTCACTTCCGTGCGGCCCAACAAGCCGTCCGGCGGCAATGGATTCGCAACGACCAGCTGCGTCATTTGTGCCCTACAGAATGACAGCACCCCTGCGAGCCTTTACCCCTAGGGGCCGCCATGACAAAAATTGGGCCTTCTCGAAATCGTGAAGTGGAGCGTGCTGATGTCTGCTTATGTCCCATACGCCGCAACTTACACTTCGCACGTTCAACTTGAACGCAGGACTTTGCACGATTTACTACGGTGTTGAGTGAATTGTTTTACCATAGTGGACTCGGATAGACCGCGCACCTGCGCAAACGGCATAGCCTAGCACCATAGTAGACCATCAAACGTACTGCAGTCTGCACGGGCAGCATGAGCGACTGGAAGGCGTTACAGTGGGATGGATCCGATCCGATCTGATCACAACAGCGTTGCTGTCCAGGACTGCCCGCACACCTGCACTGCTTTGGATCATGAGGTACACAGGGGGGACCCAGGCTTATCGTACGGCATCGTACAGCATGTCTCATGGTGCTGTTGAATTGGGTTACATGTGGGTTACACGGCTTTTTCGGGTGTTTCAGTTGGTTACATCACACGACGAGTGACGCAGGAATGGCTGCTTACACACTTGATCACCTCTCAACCGTGACCGGCGTCTGGACGCAAGCATACGCGCACGCACCCACACAGCCATGCATGGCTATCTGAGGGAAAAACCAAGCGCTTGTCAAGCGGCTGCATCACGCGCGTGCTGGTGCTGCTGTCAGCAGGGCCAGGCCCATGACAACACGAACAAATTCGCCAATCTCAACTCCTTTGGGGACGTATGATGGCACGAATGAAGCCGGCTGGCGAAGGAAGGCTGTGGAGGACATGCGTTGCGTGAGCGTGAGCCTGTTGTTAATACTGGATGGGCCAGTCAGTGGAGGAGACAGTCGGGAGCCATCCTTAATGGCCGACAGACAGTGCGCTGTTGGGCAGGACCAGAGGTTACAGACGACTATCCCCAACAGAGGAAACGTGACTTCCTGCTGTGGTGTACGAAAACGTTGGTAGCTTATGAGAACAGGGAAGCTGTATGTCCTTCATGCGCTATGTGGTATTATGTGGTAAGTATGTTCCCTGAACGATGAAATCCTGTCGGATATTGACCGCAAAATGGCGTCGTGCCGGATCCCATGTGCCCAATGGCGTCGTGCCGGATCCCATAAGCATATGACATTTCAGAAGAATGTTTCCTTAAATACTGCCGCTTTACCTCCGTAATCTCGAGTCCTCCACTACTTTTTTTTGTTTAAAGCCTGTAACTTCGCTCAAATCTTGCCTGCGAGCAATTCCATGCGTACCATGCGTGCGTGTAAAATGGCGACCCCGATCCAATTTTAGTTCGTTTACAAACTGCTGCAAAAGATAAATTGCGTTCTTTGATCTTTGAGAATTATCAGACCTCCGTCGACAAGTAGGCTGCTGACCTGACAGATGCGATTGGAAAATATAGTGCTTGCCGGTCGAGCATCGCATGCATGTTTTTTTTTCAGTTTCTTGTTTACGTCGCGCTCGTAAGCCCGAAGCGTGGGGGAAGGAAGCGCAAATACCAGTCATGTCTATCCGGTCGGTAGATAGACAATTCTAGGGTAGGCCTTAGGGCCTTAATCGGCCAGCCCGTAAAGTATAGCGGGTATCAGCTACAATAACACGTAACTGCTGCTGAGGAACTGGCAGGGGAGGCACTAGGGTAAGTACAGTTAGGTAGACGGGTAGTCGCGGAATGTTCATTCCCAGCGGTTCACGGATGTGCCTCAGTTAGAATTTGCGCCGGGTGGGCAGCCGATAAAAGCGCGACCATCGCTCTCTCCTGACATTTGTAAGTGTGTCCCGCCACAAATATCATAATCAAACGGGATGCGATAGCTTTGCTGTGATATCATTGGCCAAGTGGGGCTCGATACCACAACAGAGGGAAGTAGGATTTCGTCGTAATGATCGCAACTTTCGCTCCTACGACAACTAAAGAATTATTGGTGCCATAACAATGTTGCTGAAGAGATTGAAATAGCCGTATGCACGGTGCTTGATATATATGTACTGTCAAACAAACATGATGAATAGCTTACGAAGTGAGGGCGTTGCAGAACGTTTAAGAACTTCAGCGTGAGGCCCTTACCGCCGGCCTTGCCAACAAGATAGCGAGCTGCGAAATGACAAGATTTGAAACGCGGTAACGTTCTAACGTATGTATTTGTGTTTATCCGGTTCAGTTAGCGAATCCCGTAAACGGAAAGACAACGCCGCGA